AGGCTGCCCAGGGAAGTGGTTGAGTCCCCATCCCTGGAGGTTTTTAAAAGATGTGTAGATGTGGTGCTTAGGGACATGTTTAGTGGTGGACTTGGTAGTGTTAGGTTAACGGTTGGACTTGATGATCTTAAAGGTCTTTTCCAACCTAAACGATTCTGTGATTCTGTGATTCTACAAAGTTGTTTCTATTTATTTCTTTGTATAGTAAGGTGCTGGGGTTGAGGCAGGAAATTTCCATACATGAGTATGAAGAAATCTTTGAGGATGACAGGCTAATCACTGAACATCTTGTAGATTCATAGTTTTAGACCCTTTTTTCAAGAGGTTATCACCCATGCTACAGAACAACAGGATATTAAGCATTACAAGAGTTATGCAGGAAGACCAGGGTTAGAGCTGCAGCACAGGTACAACAATATAATATTACAAGAGATTATGGGGAAATCCTCCATATAACCCTCACACAGAAAAGATGAAAAGCACAAGGACAGAAATCCCAAATTCAAAAGCAACAGCCAACAGCAAAAGCAGGGCTGCTCCACTAGAGAAGAGAAGCCAGGAGCCAAGAATCATCACACACACAGGCAGAGTTAGTGCCCTCACTGACAGGGCATCATCCAACTCCAGCTGAGCAAGGTGAACAGGACTGGATTGGTGACAGAAAAAGGGTCTGGTGGCAGCCAAGTGACCATCAGATGAATGCAATTTCATGGGTTAGGTCTGAGGTCAAACCAGGAAGTCCCGTGAGCACATTGAGATCAGCAGAGAATAGGACTGGAGATCAGCACTCTTGCGGCATTGCTGGGGCAGGGACCAACAGCCCCAAGCTAAGTTGAAATGGGATCCTGGGCCATAGGCAGGGCTGGGAGGAAGCCCCAGCAGAGGCTGGTCAGGATTGCCCTGAAAAATGAGTATGCTGGTCCTATCCATCTGCACCACATTTCTTATTAAATGGTTCTCTCCTATATATTGTAATAGCCAACATTTCTGCAGTGGAAGGGAAACTGCATAGCAGTCACATTCAGTGTCTCCTAGTCAGTATGTGGAGTTCATGCCTTTGACTTGATATATATGACAATGAAAGTATGAGGTGTGTGTAGGGCAAGCAAACTTCACCTTATATGAAATGACTGTGTGTTACAGGCAAATGTGTACGCAGTTAATAAAAACTCTGAACATCCCAACAGACCAAATTAATTTATTAGCTTAAAATTTTTTTCATTTGTCTTCAAATTTTACCTTAAATTTTAAAAATATATCTAATTCTACAGTTGATAGATATATCTAATTCAAATATACCAGTGTGCCAAACTCTAGGATTCCAATATATGTTCCATTTAGAGTCTCAGACCACCTATGGATCAGATTATCTTGTGTATGGACTGACATTTAAGAATATTCCCATTAATTTAAGTTTTTAATGTAACATTGAGAGTGCAACTTTATATTTTATTAGCAGTGTTATACAGCTCCATGAACCTTATAATAAAGCAAGTTCATTATAGCCTATACTAATCTTGTTTAGGGAAACTGATCCATCTTGTATCAGTGAAACAATAATAATTTATCACGGAAAGTAAACTGGATGCAAAGTGTATTACAAAGAGTCACATTCATGTCTTAAAATTAAGCAAATTTTGTTAGGAAGGCTGTTACATAGTGAAAATAAGAGCTAAGCTTTTGTTTAAAATAGAAAGTAACAAACCATATATCAGAGTTTATATCATTATTGATTAAATCATGTATTTTTTTAAAAATCATTACAGGTAACTGAATTCTTTTTTTTTTCCCTTTAGGTGAAGAGATCTTAAAATATAGACAATTAATGAAGCAAAGATTATATTTTTATATCTGTTAGTGTAAACAAGTCCAAGGAAATATGCATAACTGTGTTTTAGAGGCTGTGATGTATGGAAATATTTAATTTCTATAAATAGGAAGATCAATTGCTAAGACAATCTTCCCCAGCCTAGGTGTCACTGTGGATAGAAGAAACATGAGCACTGCAACAGAGAGCTAAAACCTCTCAAATGGTTTTAAATACCATAGCCAAAGACCTGAAAAGAGATCAGTATCTTCATTCTAATCTAATATTGTATCAGCAAACATCACTGAGCACTAAAATGATTTTAAACTGTTCATGTTTGAAGTAGGAAGTCAATAGCTGTATTTTGAAGAAAACCTTCTATACGAAACTGGGTGAAAATAATTTAAAAAACCACCAAAAAACAACAACAAAAAAAACCCAAACCAAAAAAAAACCCCAGACTCTTGACTGCTTAAGAACCTTGAGTGACAAGTTGAACAAGAGATTTAAATATTGAAGTTGAAGAACAGAAACCTTCAATATACTAAAATAAGGTTCAGTGAAACCAGAAGAATTTTCTTATTTTCTTCTTCCCTGTTATCTCTTTCTCCTAGGTATTGACAAGGCCAATTATGATACTGATTGGACTGGAATTCAAAAATGCAGAGATGAATATTATTGGTGTACTGCTAGCACTGAAACTCATTGCTTTAAACAGTTTCCCAAATTGGACAAATACATGCTTTAAAAAGAAAAAAAAAAGGCAGGAGTGATCCGTTCAAGCATAAAATGTCTTTGGGAAATTGTAGTTCCACTAGTGCCAAATGAAAGCTATCTGAAAGTATGAATAGCGTAAACTATTCCCATTCCAGTCCTAGTAAGTTTCTTAGATGAGCCTTCATTGTTACAGAGGTTATATAGCAGTGCTTGCATCACTGATGTTTATGCCAATTTTTTGTGTGTTTTCCTTCTGTTCTTATAACAGTTATGAGAAAAATTCACTCCTGCAGACAGGGTTATAATAAAAGCTCATGCCTCACTAGGCTCCTTTATTAAGGACTAGGTTTTACAGGAGCTTTGTGCTATCTGTTTGCAAAAATCTGAACTTCATTTGGTAACAACTTAAAAGACATTACATCAAGTTCTCCTGAATCAGAAAGAAATATTATACGTACCTCCACACTTAGGAATAGGTCCACTCCACATTACTTTTCCATCTATTAGCATACAAGTAATTGTTTCAGTTCCTTGTGTTTTAATAAATCCTTCCTCACATATAACAGAAATTGAGCTCCCCAGCTGAAAGTTGTCGCCAAAACGCCGAGCATTGATTGGCACTCCAGGATCAGGGCACTCGTTATGTCCAAATGCTTTTCAAAAGAAAAAAAGAAGGGGGGGGGGGGACAGGAAATAGTGTGATAACTCTTGCAAGTAAGATGACATTTTTAGGATTTCATTCTGCTAGTAAGAACAAACTATTTATATTAGGAAACAATAAGAAAAAAAAGCTTGACCAACAGCAGAAAATGTAAACCAGTACAAAAAATTGCTCAAAATACGATAAAGTTGTACCAGCATGAATCTTAGTTTGGACAGCTAGGTGCTGGCAGATTTCAGTGATGACTAAGTTCTCCTTTCCAACAGCCCATCCTATCCGATGTTACAACGGGCCAGGAGCATCCATCAGAAGGTCAGGGCAGCATTTATGATATAACAGCTTTAGTCATCTTTTGTATTTTCAGTTCACCGTCACATCCATTCAAGCCATACTGACCTCAGTGTGCCCGATATTGCCATAGTCTATTTTATTTCTGTACTGAGAGCTGGTGAACAGCTACAAAAGGGGTGATGTTGGTGAAAGAAAGAAAACCTGAAACTAACCATATCACTATATTTAAGGTCAAAGAAATTCCTAGTATGTACAAATCCTTCCAAAATTTCAAGTTTATCTACAGGCAAATTAAAAAATTACAATTTCCCTGTACATATCTAGATACTATAACAAAGATAGTCCATGTCTTTTACTACAGAATACACTTTACACTGAGAGAACAAGCAAGCTCATCTTCCTACCAGAAGTGAGCAAAGTTGTATTTATAGCAATATCATTAAAAGATATGTATTAATTATTTATTATATTTTGATATTTTATTTACTAAGAAGAATACTGCACATAAATCTTAGATTTTAAAAAATGTTGATTTTTCAGTGAGAACAAATATCACCAGCACAATATCCACCTTCCTCAGATGTGATGACTGCAAATTATATCTTTATAAATATGTCTACATATGGCAACATCAGAAAGGACTATGTCCTAAAAAGAAAATTTTCACAATATTTTTCTGCAGTTTTACCAAGTGTCTGCTAGACAAAACATACCCAAGCTCCCCCATGAATTTTTTTAAAAAGTAGCATTTCATTAACTTAGCAGAAAAATTTCTCAGATGTTGCATTACAGAAGTATTAAGAATCATAATAACAGACAAGAGAAAGCATTCATTTCTTGACATTTTAACTTAGGAAATGCTACATATATTGGGAATGAAAATAGTGCTTTCATTGAATAGTTGTCTACCAACTGAGGATGGCATTAAAAAATGATGCAATCCCATACTTTTTCATAGGGGTTGCAAAAACTTTTCCAATACTTTATGCACAGTCATCACTTTTAGTGAGGGGATTGATTGTCTGTTTTTCTTACTAGCTTCAGACAACACAGAGATAGATTTTCAATATTGTTATCTGTAAATGCAGATAAACGTTGCCTCCAGGTATAGCTTGCTTGTGTATGACACCAGTTTATCAAGGCTGCAAAATTGGTTCATTGCTCTATTTCAACTCAGGAACTGAGAGTTGTGGCTGCTACTGCTGCTCCTATGGAAGCGATTGTACTGGGATGGCTATGGGAGGCAAGAGAGTGAAAGACAATCCTTCCCAACAACAGCAGTCACTCTGCTTCATGGTGGAGCTGTAATATTATATACAAACCTTAAACTGAAAAGAACACAGGTGTATATCCTTAACATTAATATTTTACCCATCATCGATATATCAAGAAACCATGGAAAAGTTCCTTATGCAATATTACATGTAAAGAGGAGATCCAGTTTTCCTGTCATTTATACTCATCAACCACCATGACTGTACTGGTATTTTAAGTAGTATCTGGAAAAAAGCCAGGCAGCATAATCATAGCACAGGGTGATGGTGAAATACTTTCAGTTCTGATATTAACTCAGAAGGATGTTAAAAGCTGTATTTTGCATCAAAAACATGTGAAGGGGAGGAACTGCAGAGATCTCAAGAGATAGGAAGGCAGAATGAAGCTAACCATAACTCATTTGGTCTGCTCTGAAAGGTCCTTGGAAATAGGGCCAGAAAGGAGTGGTCCACTGGTGTGATTAATTGTTTTGGTAGATTGCCCTAAGAAGAGTTTTAGCTGATACTAGCAATGGCTTTGGAGTAAAGGTAACCCTTTCAGAGGAAAATATCAAAAAAGAAACAGAAGTTAAGAGATTATCAAATAATAAAGAGATACTTCATAAAAAAAAAAAAATTGTGAAAGTTTGTCAAAAGTTACGCAAACAACTAGTAGGTTATTCAGTACCGTCACATGTAAACTCATACTTCTGCATAGTACATAAGCATTTGAAGAATTCTCTTGGGAAGTACTGAGACTGAAAAAGTCTATCAGGAGGGAATGCCAGAAAAAATACACCATGATGGACATACCCTATCACAGCAATAAAACAGACTAAAGCAGTCTTTGGATATAAAAGCAGCATCTGGGATTGTCAATGTCTGGGTCTACCGAGCTGAAATCACTCGAGTAATTAGGCTGATGTCAGAGGCCCACAGTTTGACCTTCGGCATGTTGCTATGTAGTTCATGGGGTTGTAACTTTTGCTAGATAAAGCACAATTAAACAATTGTGATGAAAACAGCAACAAAAAATCTGCATAACTGGCAGAAACAGCAGATCTAAACTTATACAAAAATATTTGCCCAGCACCTCCTACACCCTGATAAACGAGCAACAGCTCAAAGCAGTCCACCAACTGCAAAAATCAAACAATCTGGAAGATGCTCTCCACCTCAAAAATTTAATCCACCTCAGCCTGAAGGGAGATTGGCATGACTCTGGCTTCTGGAATGCCGGCCCATGGAGGACCTCCAGGAACACCTGGGACCAAACTCTCCCAGCCAGAGCTGATACGGTTCCTCCCAACCACTGACAACCCCTGCTTCTACCAGTGAGGAAAGGGGAGATAGAGATAATCACTCACGACTTTGTAGTCTTCTTTGCCTTAACTCTGTCACAGGCAATAAATATCCATTCTTCTTCACATGGCTCCAATTGTTGCATAGCAATTAATGTGTGCATTTTGTCTGGCCTGACCTAATCTAGGAAATCCAGACTGAAGCAGAGAGACTATATAACTTCATTGCTTGTCATTTATGTGACCATATTCAGATACCGTGTCTAGTTCTGATCTCCATAACTGAACAAAGATGTAGATAAAGTGGGAAGCATTCATAAAGGAGTCACAAATATGATAAAAGACTCAGACTTTCCCTTAAATTGAAGAGTTCAATGCATATAGCTTACTAGAGGGAAGATTAAGGGATGACTGAGTTTATAAATACCTTCACAGAGACCAGAAATGTCATTAAGGGCTCCTGGGTTTGGGATATAAACTGGAAGCAAGTAGCCAGGTATAGAGCCAGGTATAAGTATACAGTTCTATAGCAACTTAAACCAATGTAATTTCATGTTGCTATGTTCCTGTGTTCTGTGGTACCCAGTAAAGCACTCTCCTGCCTCATTCCCCCTTTTTGCATCAACAGTAGTGCATAGCCAGATATAAGTAAACCAATACAAGGATCTTACCAAGCTGAAAATCACAGCCTTTTGAATTCCTATTCCTTTGGTTATTAGAACATTCTCTGCATCATCCATTTTCAAATCACACATTTCTGTGGGCTTGTCCCAAAATTTAACTCATTAGAAATCTTTGTCAGACTCAGTGAAGTAACTCAAAGATGAGACATTTGAAATCTAATTTTTGTTTACTTCCAACAGAATTTGAATTTATGTTTAGTTTTACTGGAATGAGACTAATTATCTGAGACCACATATGTTGCCGTAATAAAAATAAATATGGCATAAAAATAGTTTCTGAGAAATACTATTTAAAAATCAGGTTATGTACTAGTAACTCAGTTTTATTCGTCTCCATCCTATACCTCCAAAATATTAATGAAGTTATTTACATTATTAGCCTACATTCTTTTTAGAAAAGATTGACCGTGTTGTACCTTTCCTGTGATACACTGTTTCTACTCTTGAAGGCGGCAAAAAGAGATTGATAGCTTTGAAATATATAAGCTGGAGTGTTAGCAGAAAACAGATATTTTTAATTAACTTTGGGTTTATGAATGCCAAGACAGAGTGAAAATGATATTAATTCCTTTTTTATCCTTTCTCTTGGCTTTAAACTATTTATTATGGAAAGATCACTTCTGAATTTTATCAGATTGCAGCTGTCTTTACTGAAGAAAGATTAGACACATTTTCTGGAGGTTTTTTTGCTTTGGTAAGTAGATTTTAACTATAGAGTTTAACAAACACATGCACACCTCCATTCTAGCTTAAACACACCCATAAAAAGAAATAAAAATACAGATGTGTTAAATTGCTCAAACATAGAAAAAACTTCTTCAAAATAATTATTTTCAGAGTGAGCGGGTTTCGTTATACAACTGGTAAAAGTTAATACTGCATTGTTACTTCTTTATAAAAATTAAAATTGTACCATTTGGTACTATCAGTGCACACTTTAAGTGACTCTTAATTGAGAGATATCATAACCAGACTACCACATGCACAAGGAAATTTGCAAATTTTTTAAAGGACCAGAATTTATTCTGATAAGTATATTTACATGGCACTGAAATATTAAACCTGAAGTCTTGACAGTGTTTGATGAGTTGTTGTATTTCCAAATAAAAACTAAATATGAGGATTATTCCATGCTAATCATCTGCATCTTTCATTTTTACTGTAAATCCTACTTTAACTGACCTATATTTAGTTCTAGTTCTGCAAAATGGGATGACTTGAGGATATCCATTTATACAGAGGACTAATTTTTATCCAAGACTGCCTTAGACTCTCCAATATATTTTTTTTTTCTCATCACTAGATTTAGGCTTGACACCATTGAGCACACCACAGTGAAACCTTAAAGAAGTAAGCAGAACTCTTATTAATGTTAAAAGGACATGAAACAGAAGAAAACATAGAGCAAATGTTATAACTTCTGTTAAGAAATATGGATTCAATGTCTCATTTTCATTATAACTGATTTTATATTTCAATGGTACTGGATAACCCCAGACTTTCCAATAATTAGTTATGGTACTAAGATACCTAGCTACAGCTCAAAGTTTAGTTTGCAATGATGACTGGTAGCTACAGAAACCAATAAGAAGACACCACATTTTCTTCATGCTGACATTCTACATTTGTGAGAAATGATCTGGGGATGAAGCAGCTAAGATAGAGGGCTGGGAGCTGAAATATAAGACAATATCAGAAAAAGAATGTTTACGCAGTAATCTGGTGTCAGCTTATCTCTTTCCTATTCAGACAGCAATGTTCAAGGTAAGCCTTAAGAAACACTTCTCTGAAAGATTGACAACCTAAAACAAAGCAAAACAAAAGAGAGAAAAAAAAGATGGGAGGTGAACTATGATGCAAGAAAAGTAGAGAGCCACAGGGGAATTTAGTCCTTGCAATACTATGAAAATAATATTAATTATTAACATTCCTTGGAGAAAAATGTGGACTCTGGGTCTCTCAATTACCAAGCTCACTTAATCTCATTTCCTCTTTGGTTTAATTGATCCTTCTTGTTTTATTCAGGGTAAAACATCTTCAACAATAAAGACTATTTTTTTCATATAGCCAAGCATGTAATACATTCTTCTGGGAAGGGGAGATGTGGATATACAGCTCTCCTTCAAATCATGCAGTTGAAGATCCACTTACATTCCAAGTAAGCCTCTGGAATTATCATACTCTCAGGTGTTAGGGAGAAAGACAGTAATGGGACTGGTTACTCATGACATCAGACTTTTGGGAATATCAAAATATCTATCATCTTTTGCCTATTTAGTCTACCTGTTGGCATGGAAAACTACTCTGCTACCTACCTCTACCATCAGAAAGAAAAAAAAAAAAAAAAAAGAAAAAAAAATCCAAATGTGTGAGGTGGGGCAGCTCTGGCTGGAGGATATGATGATCCCCCCAATAGCCACTCTCTTATCCCTACCATCCTCTACACATAGTAGCAAGCCTGATACGTCAGCCATTTCCTCTCCTTCCCATTTCCTTCCAACTCCCCAAAAGGAACAACTTGGCTAAACCCAATCCTTCTCACTTCACTGCTGAGGTGGCAAAATTTAATTTTGCATATGCTCCCAGGACAGCTTCATGCTATATTTTGCAGTGTTATTCATGCTGTGGGCTTACATATTGCATCATCACGTCCCCCCTAGCTGGGAATATATCCTGCCTGGACTTCGGTGTGGGATAAATGCCAAATAATTTGATAGCAATACAACACAGGCAGTTCTTCTTATGTCCTTCAGAAGAAATGTAATGATTTTGCCAGCAAAAAGTAAGTTGAATAAGTGCTAATGGTATTTAGTACTGGGGAAGATATTTAATGTCACCTTCAGTTATTATGCTGTCAGTAAATGTAGTGCCAAGTAGTAAATCTGGAACTATGTATGGTTTTGGTTAGTTTCAGCCTTTTCACCTCCCCCAGGACAGAAGCAAGTGAAATACACAGAACTTCATTTTAACGGGAAACTCTCTGTTTCTGTGTAATAGATAAACTAAATACAAAAGGTGACAGAAGATGCTGGTTTCCCTTCCAGAAGCTACAAATATGTAGGTACAATTCAGAGTGCTCAAGACAGAAGCCCAACCACTATTTACTGCAGTTGCTCTGAATGGCAGTCTAGAAATTTCTCTCCCTGTGGCTGTTAAAGCTGTAAGTTAAAAGTGTATTAATCAGTATATAATTAGTATGAACTTACCTCCAGCCTATATACAAGCATACCAAACCAGAGTAACTAACAACACCATGTAAGTATTCTTTTTAACATTGTAATGGTGTAGCCAGGCACAACATATAAGCATGTGAGCAATTTGATCATCAAAAGGGCAAAGACAGACAGGTGTAATTGCACATAGAAGGCATCCAAGTAGCAAAAAATTGCTAAACAAGAGACAAGATAAGCACAAGGGTCTGCAAATAGGCCAGACATCCTCCTGAATACACAAGGATGACTGGCAAGACAAAAAAGAACAAGGTAAGTAGTACCAGGAGAAGAGGAGGCTTCCTTTTCTGGGAGTGGGAAAAATAGCTTAAAATCATCAGCCATAAGGAAGGTAAAACAGAGAAAAAGAAGACAAGCCCATTGTGGTTTGACTTCTCTTATCAAAGAGCTCCTACAGCTGCCCACATTAACCATGGTGACTAGGAGCTAGCATGGACTGCAGCCATCAGCTCCAGTGTATTATATACATTCACAACTAAACTAGCATATGAGTGTTCAAGAGTAACAGTTTTGTACATGTAATGATGATGATTAACATTATGTAGGATTTAACCAGCAGCACAAAGTGTGCTGTTAGCAAATTTAGTAAAGTTCTGTTTTACAATTTGAAACTGGCCTGATTTGTCAGTCTTCTAAACACTCCCATCATGATGATCTCTAATGCCATAAATAATAAACATACACATATTTTCAGCCCTAACACTGTATTTGAAAGTGTCTAAACACCTAAATTACATATTTGTAGGTATACAGGATTTGTTTGAAGGTGTATTACCATAACATAATTTTTACATATTTATACATTTCTCCTAAACTAAACTGTATGTTGAAAGCAAAACACACACATACATTAAAAAATACTATTACTCACTGTTATAAGTGATGTTAAATCCACGGCCTGACATTGAATGGTCAGCTTGAAATTCCAGACGCAAAATATGACCATTACTGGTAAGATGGGAAGGAACTTCAGCACCAGTAAACGTTCCTATTATGGGGGAATCTGGAGAGTCACCATCTTTAACTGCAAGGAAGTCAAACTGAGATTCCAAGTCAAAGTCATTAAAAGAGAGATGGATTCGGCTCCCAGGGTCGGAAATTATTGTCCAGATACAGTTTAAATTATTCCCATATCCCTCTGGATAATCAGGTGAAAGAACTGTTCCCATTGGTGCAGTGAAATTGGAAAGGCAAGGAACTGCCAAAAAAAGAGAAAGAAATTAGATAATAGAATAAAACATTTCAATAAGGATTTATTTTATTACTAAGTTTTTGTAAGAGATCCTTAAACTTGCTGATTATGTCAACTGAATAATTCAGTATTTGTCATGATCTGTGAAGCCAGAAAGAAGGTTCTTTTTTTTAATCTTCTTATTCCCTTGCCCTCAATAAAACTACCTCCCAAGAAGACCCCCCAGGTAATAAAGAACATCCTTGTTGCATTGGAAGCCCACAGCACTCCTTACAATTTACCCATGTTCAACAATCCTTAATCACTTGGCACCACTCATTTTCTCCTTTAGGGAACTGTTTAGATGAGCAGACTTCTCACTGAACACATTAAAGAGGCAAAGTCAATAGCGCCCTTATCATTTGGTGTTCTCACAGAAGCACAAGAAATTAACTAGCCTCAAAGAGACAACAGAGTTGTTTTGTTGTTACCAGGATAATATTTTATATTCAACCATTTCAGTTAAGCCATATTAAATTGAGTTGCAGGGATGAAAGCAACTGACTGCACTCGCACTCTGAATATATTTGATCTGTACTATTTTAGTGGAAATGTTAAGAAAGGTGTTGCCATGTATACGTATCACAAAATTGGTTTTACTTATGCTGTATAATGTAACTGGAAAAGAGCTATAAATGTCTATGATCACTTAAGTGCTAAAAGATATTAATATATAATACATGGGGAAAAAAAGGTAAATAATTTAAACCCTTGATTGCAATTCAGCAACTTCTAATCTGAGGAAATATATTAATTTACAAGAGTAGCTGTAAAAAGCGTACCACATAAAATCTACAGAATCCTACAAAAAAGCCAATAATAAAACATTACATCAAATCACATAGCTGTAAAAGCGTACCACATAAAATCTACAGAATCCTACAAAAAAGCCAATAATAAAACATTACATCAAATCACATAAAGACAACTGGTTTAACAGTTGCTAGTAAAAGAAAACAATATTTTAGCAGCTCTAGAACCTGTCTTGGGAATAATCATTAGGCAAACCCACCACTGGACAAAAGTAAATTCATCCTGTCAGTGTAATTAACTGCATTGTGCTAACTCTGCAATTGATCACACAAATTATTACATATAAGGAAAAACTTATCATAATGTTAGGTATTAAAAATAATAATAAAAAAGATTTGGTACATACAAATACAGATTGGTATGTTTGCAGACCACTGGTTGTTTTCTTGGCAAATGATTGATTTCTCTCCAATCAATTCAAATCCAAACTGACACTCAAACCTTAAAACATCACGGTTAGAAAATCCATCCCCTTCTCTGATACCATACAACGGTGTTCCAGGATCCCCACAGCTTTCCTTTTCAATTTCTGTTGAAATAAATAAGGAATTTGTTTCTAGAAGAATAAAACAAACTCCCTGTGGGTATATGCTCACATCTAGAAAATAACTATACATTATTATAAGCAAATGAAAATCATCTACATAACAACAGTTGCTGAAATGCATCACTGAGTCTGATTCTACACTCCAGCTTCTTAAGGAGGAAATTCTGTGTAAGGATCTTAGAAAAATCAGAGCTCTCTGTATAGAGTACTTGAAATTAAAAGAATATGAGGAAAACTATTACTACTTTATTTTATTTTGTAAAATTTTAGGCAATAATAATACTAAGTAAAACATCACTTGTAGTACGTGAGCATGTAAAACTAGCAACAGAGACCAGGATCCACTGTGTAAACACTGTCCATTTTCTAATACAGCTTAAATTGATGAACCAATGACATGGCAAAAAAAGGGAGCAGTGACACAAAAAGAATTGCCCAAAGTCAAAAGGAGGCTATAGATAAATATAGAAGTATATATACACATACATACACATTTATATATACACATTATGTACACACATGCAAAAATAACTTCTCTATACTCAAATAACAATTTACCTCAGTGGACTTAACTGCAAGGTATCTGAATGATTCTCTTCTATTTCTACAATTGTTACAGCTATGATAGTCTCTCAAATTACATACTGTCCTAAACTTTCACTGGTAGTTACAAGCATGAAGGGATCTTCCAAAAAGCATTTCTCACCAATATGCATTTCACAACCTCATAGGACAATTCAAGCTGGAATCATAGAATGGTTTGGGTTGGAAGGGACCTTAAAGATCATCTAGTTCCAACCCCCCTGACGTGGGCAGGGACATCTTCAACTAAATCAGGTTGCTCAAAGCCTCATCCAACCTGGCCTTGAACACTTCCAGAGAGGGGGCATCCACAACTTCTCTCGGCAACCTGTTCCAGTGTCTCTCCACTCTCACAGTAAAGAATTTCTTCCTAATAATCTAATCTAAATCTACCCTCTTTCTGTTTAAAACCATTACCCCTTGTCCCATCACTACAGTCCCTGATAGAGTCCTTCCCTTTCTTTCCTGTAGGCCCCCTTTAAGTACTGGAAGGCTGCTATGAGGTGTCCCTGGAGCCTCCTCTTCTCTAGGCTAAACAACCCCAACTCTCTTAGCCTGTCCTCATAGGAGAGGTGCTCCAGTCCTCTGATCATCTTCATGGCCCTCCTCTGGACCCACTCCAACAGGT